AAGGAAAGAACAATAAAATAAGGGGAAAAAAGGGCATGATGTATAGAAAAAAATAAAAAAAAATCTATATATATAAAAAAAAACAAACTAAAGAAAAAAAAACTAGTAGTGTAAGGAGTACAATGTAAAATAAAAAAGTTAATAAAGAAATATAAAGCGAAAAAAAGGTACGGACTTCGAGTCTGTAGTGTAAACTTATTTATAATAAAAAAAAAACCTAACCTAACCTTTTTTTTTTTACATGGGGAAATGCCTACCTACGCACACCCGCCTCGTGGGGGCAAGGACGGGTTATGTCGGACTCGCATCGACTAAAACCCCATGGTGTTCCACCCTCGTCGCATATTGGCAGGGCCACGGGAACGCTTTCGCACACTTCCGCGGCCCCACCTGCGCTGGCCACCCCATAGCGGCCCCTCCTCGGGAGAGGACCACTCCTCCCCGATCTCCTTCTCCGGTAAGGCGCACCAGAACACATGGCGCGCCCTCCTCCTCGGCCTCCAACTTCATATGCGCAACGGACGCCCCCGTGTCCGATGCGCGAAGACCATGGGGCCAGGAAAAACTAGCACTCAGAAGCACCAGCCTTCCCGACCCCAGCGGCGGATCTGGTCTATGGCTCCGCCGCCAACCAAGATTCGGCTGCGGAGGGTAGGGAGAGCGGCGCCTCGCAATACCGACACTCCTCTCCCCCCGCAGCCCCACCACCACCGCATCCTTTAACGGTGCGGCCCCGTCTGAGTCGCGGAGGATAGGGCGAATGGTGCATCGCCATACCAGCACTCCTCTTCTTCCGCGACTCCACCCCGGCTGCAGCGGTAGAGGGAGCGGACACCCCTCTATCCGCAGCCCACCAACACACATCCGAAGCGGGCTCGTCAAGCCCGCTCGGAGTGGCCACCTCGGGCTGGCCCTACACCTCGGGCTAGCCAAGGGATTCCTCTTTGTTCACCGTGGGTGACCAAGCCACGGCTACTAAGCCCCCCCGCCACGACAAGGCGGGAACCCGTTCGGGGGGGAACCTAACCTAACTTGCTTGGATGATGTGGAATTGCGCACGCGCGCGCCGCGTAGATATACGGTCTAGGATTCGAACCGCGCATTCCTTGTTCGAGAGCGTCTCCCATTTGATTGTCAGGAAATCATTATAATTGTGCCGTCGCGTTAAGTCGGAAACAGGTACGTACTATATCTTCCTAGCATTCTCCCATATAGTTTAGTATGATAGGACATTCTTCCATGTGGCCTTTTGGGCCCGACCTGCGGCTGCTCGTGAAATCTTCTGCTCATGGGCCCCCGAAGATTCGACCTTTGCTGTAGCAGCTGTAGGCCGTAACATTTTTGGTAGCAGGGAGCGTTGGTTGGATTGGTTTAATTTGTGTCTATAATCAAGCCCGGCCGTAATACGTAATAATAAAATTCTTTTCCTTTGTTGCTTGATTTTTTGTTTGTTAGCGGGTAGATTGGAAAGCCACGCCCGTAGGTTGCGCAAGCGGGAGTTTGCTAGAGCTAGATATACGTCGGGTAGGTAGGTGGCTATAATCACGTAATCGGATAACTATCGTTTTCGTATAATTATAGTAGATTAATTGTCGAAGGTCGGTTGTCTGTGCGAGGCATTTTTTGTAGATCGACTGTGATGTGTATCTTAATTTGTATTGTGATTTTATTGAATCCAATAAATAGTAATTTGTGTTTGTGTAATTTGTATTTAACTTGATTTGATGGGAGTTGTATTTGTTATTTGTTAATTTTTTTTTGTATTTGTTATTTGTTAATTTGTAATTTGTATTTGAGATACTAACCCCGAAAAACGACCAAGCAGCGGCAATTTACAATATACTGTTAACGTCTTTTGAGGGGGAAGAAATGGTGTACACGTCAATAGACTCTGTGGTCTACACAGATGACACAATTAACTACCCTATCGAATTTCTTAATTCACTGAAAGCATCGGGTCTTCCACATCATAAGCTTATTCTGCGCGTGGGTACTCCTGTTATGTTGTAGTGAAATTTAGAACCTCCTCAACTTTGCTACAGAACCAGACCAAAACTAAAAGCGTTAAATCGCAATGTAGTGGAAGCCACAATTATAACTGGATGTGCGCAACGGGAATTTCCTTGTTTCCGAATAATCTTCTCTATGAATTCAAACTAATACAGTTTCCCCTCAAAGTCTGCTGTGCAATGACCATAAACAAATTACAAGGGCAGACATTAAAATTTGCGGGTATAGACTTGAGAGAAAATTGTTTTTCACACAGGCAATTCTTTGTGGCTTGCTCACGCGTAAACTCGCCCAGTAGTCTGATAATTTTGGAACACAGTAATAGATTAGCAAAAAATGTGGTGTGTAAAGAAGTTTTGTAGTTTACTAGGATTTTAATTAAGTTTTAATTGTGGCTTGTACCAGCAGACTCTTTTTCAAATATGGGTGCGATATAACCGAACTCCACGGACTATAGGACGAAGTTGCGGACAAAATTTTTTTTTGGTAATTTGATTTTGTTTTTGTATCTTGTGTTGTCTTCATTTCTTACTAAATAGCATAAGCAACAAGCAAACACAGCTTAGGTGATAAGTCATTGATTTAGTGACTTGTCAAGGTTTTGGTGACATGTCACCGTTTTGGTGACAAGTAACCATTTTGGTGACATGTCGCTGTTTTGGTGACGGGTCACATGTTCGGTGACAGGGCAAATCTATATTGTACTTGAATATTTTTCTTTCCTGTGATATTTTTCCTCCTTATTAAATAGCACGCACTAACTAACAAAACTTAGTCTCGGTAACAAGTTACTGATTTGGTGACATGTTACTTGTCACCTAAACGGTGACCGTTTTGGTGACAAGTAACTCTTTCGTGTAATATTTGTGAATTTAGATGTAATAGAAAAAATAATTTGCAAACATATATGAAAATGCACACCACTAAAACTATTTTCGTGTAATATCTGTAAATTTAGATGTGTTATAAAAAGTTTTTTTATAATCTCTATATTTTTATTATTTATATAATTACCACCCTAATTTGAAATTGAGTACTTGGGGTGGCCACATAAATTATATTAAATGTTAAACAATATAAAATTGTACAAAATGTTCTTACGTGATTTATAAACTTGATAACTACGTACGTACTAACTACTAACCTACCATCAGGTAAACTGAATGCTCATTTGGCCACTTTTCTCCTTAAAAAAACTGGATGGTTATCAGATAGATAATTATTAGATATATCATTTACTACAGCCTGTACTACCGTGGTAATCTAGAGAGCAGTATGTCAGATATTTCTTTTATCAACCAACATCAAAAAGTTACCTCAGAACAGTTTTCTATGTGAACAGATTTTTAGAATTCTTTTTTTATTTGGAAGCTTTCTCATGCATAGCAAGAGTCGCTATTTATTTAAATTATTTTACGGAGTGAACTTTCTGTGCCCTGTACTATTATGTATTCTGTGCTTATGTATAAAATTTGCCACAAAGAGAATAAAGTTTTTTACCAGTGAAAATCGTCAAATTAAAAGAAATACCTTAGCCTTGTTCTAGAAATTCTGGAGGAGGAATTACTGACGAAAGGAAATAGATAATTCAAAACCCGTGTCCGCAAAACCCGTGTCTGTTAATGCCTGCTAATTGCAGACTTTTTGGGAAAATTTATGTGTCAATTAGTAATGTTGAAAATTTGACAATCGAGGAATAACGCGGACATAATTTAACACTGTAATGATTACACTGTATGATTAAAAATTTGCGTAAAATAATGATCACCAATGGATATCACCATCGAACGATGCAGGTTCTATGTGCAGTAACCACGATCGCGATTTCGATATAGATTGCGGACATTCATTTGTTATTCGACTTGTAAGACGAGACATTACATGTTTTATATGAGAGTACAACTCCTCGAACGCGACCCATGACTGATAGTCTACCTCTGCTTCTGGGTAGACTTGCATGTTATACAAATTGTAATCAGTCTCAGTAATACCTTGTCTACCTCAGTATCTACTTGTTGGGAGCGATCATAAATAGTTTGTAAGCGATTAAATAAAGAGTCACGCCTAGCAAAAGTTATATTCAATAACATTATTCATTTGGGGTCTGGCGTTTCAGCCCTAGGTTAATTAATTTTTGACGTGCTAATTTTCGACATTTAATAATAAATACGGCACTGAAAATTTCGGGAATCAAGGAAGTGACACAACATTACTATTTAAAAATGTATTTATTGCTTTTCAAAGTATTCTCCGCGAAATTTGACACATTTTTCCATAAGATGGAACCAATCATTGAAGCAACCATTCCATTCGGAAGTTGGGGTCTCCAAAATGGCCGTTTTGTAGGCGTCCACAGCTTCTTCAGGTGATGAAAATCTCTATGTATACGAAATATTATAGTTATAAAGGAAGTCTTAAATGTGACTAGTGAGCGACTAACAAATATATAATTTATTGAAGCGTAGTAAATATCCGGTAGATTTATTAAAGTTAAGTTAAAATTACAGCCTATATACGTCCCATTGCTGGGCACAGGCCTCTTCCCATTTCTGAGAGGGTTTTAGGGCAAGGAAGTGTCCGCCGCGCTGCCCCAATGCGTGTTGGCGAGCTTCACATGTATTCAAAATATTTTTCTTATTTCTCAGACATGCAGGTTTCAAAATAGGTTAAAATTAACATCTACTTTTCTACATATCAACTTACTACGCTGATATGTAGAAAAGTAGGCGCTATTTTTTAAATTCTTTCGGAGAACAACAATCCACTTAGGTATCTAATATAAAAATTAAATTACAAGATAGTTGTATAGTATTTCAATCAAAGCTATTTGCACTTAACAGAGCCATAGCCCCGACACTTGATCTACGAGAGAAAGATTTGTGAAGAAGCTAGTAAGAGAATAAAAACAATATCAAATTAAATTTAAGATTTAATTCTAAATTCGATTCTTAACCTAAATTCAATAAGAACTTAAAAAATATGATAACGGCTTAAAGACGGGCTTGGATCCAGGATGCAAAGGAGGTCACCCTGGCGAAGCCGGCGGGGAGTCCCGCCTGGCACCCGCGGCTGGAGCCGAAGGACGTTATACCGATCTGGGAATTAAAAATATGAGTGAATATTTTTTTATAGAAAAAGGGTGAAAAATGAGCACACAGTCCACTTGGTGGTACGTGGATGCTGTGTGCTATAGACATCTACATCTGTCATCCATTAAGAATCAAATTGCAGATGCGTTCTTATCCCTGAGGACTAAGATGGAATGCCTCGTTTCCGGTAAAAAAGAGAACATTATTTGCTGTTTAATGCTGGTATTCCGTAGTCCTCCCCGGTTGAGCCAACCCATTCGTGCCACAACTAATATAGCAGCGGCGTGGCTCTTCCGCGTATAAAATGTATACTCTGCCTTCATTCTTGTTTGCTTCTTCGTTTTTGTCATATCGCCGACAGCCTTCTACTGAATATAAACCTTATCAATTTGAAAACATTTTTGTAGATTTATTTAACCTACAAAAATTAGCAGAGATAGTTCAAGAGTAAGAAAATATGACGGACGAAATGATTAACAAAATTTTAAATTTCTCACGTTCATAATGTATAATTAAAAGTTTTGTACAACCGACTTAATAATTTATATTAATAAATTATTAAGAATAACTCAAAAACTATTGGTCAGACCTTGATCAAATTTATATGGGACCACATGTGAAGCACCAGCAGCTTTCAAATAAAAAAAAATCATCGAAATCGGTTCACCCGGTAAAAAGTTATGAGGTAACACACATAAAAAAACATACAGGCGAATTGAGTACCGTCTCCTTTTTGAAGTCTGTAGAAAAGTAAATCAATTAAAAAAAATACATCAGAATGAATGCGTTGGGTGATTCCCGTCAGCCGTTTGTCACGCCATCTCACGTCAAGCGTTTACATAAACGTACTCCAGATAGTAGATGTTTCATGAAGCCGGATATTGGTGTATATTCCAGTCGCTATTTGCCGTCCAGAGAGGACTGAAGCTTTTTACTTTTAACAATAAATTCATTACAAGTTAAAACAAAAATGGAGTAAAAATAATTAGAGCCTTTAAAGTAAGTCATTTTATTTGTCAGGTGAGAGAATGCATCTTTGGCAACTTACCTATAGGCTTTATAGGCTAGTATTTTTTCACCTCTAATAAGAGGTAAAATAATATATTTAAAAGAAGTAGCGCCACACTAGGATTCTCTCCTGTACCATGGAGGCAGTTTAAACACATAAATTGCACAAGGCCAAACATTAAGATCCAGAACTATTATTTGTAGATCATACAAACACATATTCCATGGGGCATTCAAACCGGTTCTCAAGCGGATATTACACGGATCAATTCAGTTCAATACTGCTTTCATTTCATTGCTTCAATGACATTGAGACATCTAAATACATTTCAATGCGATTGCGCACTCTCATTGAAAGCTAAAATTCACCGAACACTTTCAAAGCAATGGTAGCAATATTGGTCATTGTTCAATGCGGTTGAAACGTGTATACATGAAGATTGAACGATAACTCGTTCCGCGCACCACACGATACTTATTTCGGGTGCGCACAGGGATTTTCAAAAATGGTTTTCTAGTGACATGAAAATGGGTTTTAAGAAGTTCATTATATTCACTTTCTGTAATTTGCAAATGGTTCAAATAAGGATTTGGATCTTCTTCTGCCGATTCTACTAATAAGGTGCTTGAGGCTCTTTTAGTTATCCTTCTCGAAATCCACGGGCGCAGCCACCAACGCCAAGATTTTCTTTTTTTTAAATTATACAACTCATTTATTATATAGTCGCAGTATATCTCGATATTCCCGCACGTTACGAGTTGGCGCGACATCTCATTGCGCTGTGAACATTGAACGTCATTTAACTGATTTACGTGTATATTGGTAAAGCCGTTCAATGTGCAATGTTAAACGTTTTTCAATGGCATTATTTAAATTTGGTTGATCCGTGTAATATCGGCTTCAGCGCCACAACTCAGTGCTAAGTCACTGCACCGCGGAACCATCAAACTACATTGATTGATTGATTATTAAATAATGTATATGTTGAAGTAGAAAACACATAATACAGTGTGCTTGTGTAGCGTGTAAGACAATGCAGGGCGAACTGAACTTACCAGTTGCCGAGTGAGAGCAAATCCTCCCCATTACGTCCCGTATATGCCAAAAAACTAAATAATCTTCTAATAGATAGACCTTTTTAACTGGAAACGTGGCAATTTTAGTCCTCAGGGGTGTTAACGCATCTGTATTTTGATTCTTAGTAGAGGATAGATATGGATGTCTATAGGCCACAGCATTCACTTACCACCAAATGGACTGTGTGCTTGCTTGTCACCCATATAATTTAAAAAAAAAACTTAAGACTCGTAAGCTGTTGGTTATTCATAACATAAAAATAAAAATGAAATGGAAGAACTCACGAGCACTCGCTGTCCGCCATTGTTGATGGTGAGGGGCCCGCCGGAGTCTCCGCTGCAGGTGCTGGTGCCCCCAGAGCCGCTGGTGCACAGAGTAGACGCGATCACGGTCGAGGTGCCGAACGTCCGCTGGCATACTGCGTTGGTGATCACTTGCAGCGACACGTGGCTTAGTACCTGATTCTGTGTGATACCGGCGGCTGGGAACAGTAGTAATTATAAATTCGTTGAAAATAATAATACTAGAGAGTTTCGGTCAATGCGGCCAGTCTTAACCGTGACTAGCTATCTGCGCAGGACAGGATTATAATTAATTGATCTAAGTAACTTACGTGTAAGTGTCTTTCGATCAAAATTATATGAAGTTGACGCCTCCTCTATGTTTGTATGTATACTACATATAGTATACATACTATATATACAATAGATGTCAGGAATTGGCGGACTGAATCATACGAATTTTAACCTTCTGGAGGAAAATAAGATTTTTACTGATATCCCAACCTATATCAGCTCCCACTGGTAACACTATAAACCTCATGGCATTGTGAATATGAAAAAATAATTTACATGCAAGCAAGCACTAAGGTTGGGTAATAATATATAGCAGGGTAGGGTTGTACACAGAGGAGGCATTTACTTCATATAAGTTTCGGGATTCCGTTTCGATATTCCGATTCGAAATTCCGAACGCAGCAAGTCCATATGAAATCTATGACCCGTCACACACGTACGGTAGTTTTCCGTACGAAATTTTGCGGGCAAAATAGGATTCCGTATGTGTGTGGCCGACCCATTCGGAATTCCGAAACGGAATCCCGAAACGGAATTCCGTATATATGTGGCGGGCCTTATGAGGGCATCCACGACTTTTTCCACCACCAGGGCAGCGCCACTAGAAAGTGAGGTATAATATTTGACAGATACATAGAGGGAAAGTTAACTTTTATTGGTTATTTCTTTTTTGCAAATAAATAACCAACTTACTGAATTTCATACAGTTTTAGTGACATACATGAGATCTTGTGAGGTAACTGATAATATACTCATATTTGTCTCTATACAATGGTATAATTAGCAAAGAATGTTTTTTTTTGGTGAAATTAAGCCATGTAAAGCAAATCTAGTTATATATATAAATATATATATATATATATATATATATATATATAGAAGAATAATAAGTACATTTCTTATTGTTACAGTAGCAGTCAATTTTTAGACAATAGACATATTGTATATATTGATAAGGGCTTAATGTCTATTTAATGCTATACATACATAAATACCTTCCTCACAGCACTGCCGCAGCAAGTTAATTTTTATGCAACTAATGGATAGTCCTCAAATGAGATGTTTCATAACAGTTGTTTATCAAGGTAAGAATTTTAATAAGTCGGTACTTTTTTTAATAAGGTAGTATCAGGCTTATAAAGATTAGACGGTTACTCTTTTTTCTTTATTCTGTGTTTTAAGATTGTGGAGAACAGTGCATAAAACTTAAGGTGTTTCCATGAATTTTATGCATTTATATTTTTACTAATAGCAAATTCATCTTACTTTAGTTAACAAACTTAAAGACAATCATAGATTAATGATAAGTCATCGCGCGCTCTGACTAGATACCGCCGGCGCTCATGTAAAATGCGTAACAAATACTACGCCGAAGTCGGCGTACCCGAGTCCCGAGCCAGTCGCGTTACAGGCAACGTGTGAGGTGAACGTACCGAATGTTTTATTAAATTTTGATCATAATCCGAAGTAAAATACCAGTTTACGTATTGAAACTGTGTAAAAATAATACTACAAGAAATAACAAAGACACTGGAATCACATACTATCATTAAGTATCATACAATTTCGAAATTTTAACATAAAATAACACAAGCCATAAATAAGTCACAAAATATCAATGACGCTATTCAGTGTTGCCGCGAATGCAAAAATAAAGTTCCCCGTGGCAGAGATTTTCTTATGTGAATTTATTGTTACTATATTTTATAATATAATATATTAAACTTATTATAATATAACCTAATTCTATATTATTTAATGTTTATTTCTGTAGTATTGCTCAAATGACATAATTGCCATTTACTAGGGTTCCGTACCCAAAGAGTATCAACGGGACCCAAGTCTCCACTATCGTTCCGTCTGTCTGTCAGTAGGCTGTATCTTATGAACCGTAATATGTAGATACTTCGAATTTTCATAGAATGTGTATTTATATTGCTGCTATAACAACATAAAATAAAAAAGAAAACAAGTAAAATATTAAAGGACCCAAAAAAATCACGTTTCTTGTATGAAGACCATACAAGAAACGTGATTTTTTTCTGTATGTGATATGTGTTTTGTTTACAGACTAAAGCGGAACCTGGATTAACACGAAATAAAATGATGCTGTGTGTATGGTGGTATTGAAAGTTTATCATGAGCTTTTACCGCCGGGTAAAACCATCGATTCAGATCTCTACTACCAATAAATAATGAGACAAGCAAGAAATAGAAAAAGACACGTCTGGCATTGATAATCAGAAAAGGAGTGGTCTTTCATCATGATATCACAAGATTAGATATCTGTTTGAGACTTTCAATACACACTAAAATTCCTAAAAATCCAGTATTTGCTTGAGTACTTAAAACTGGTTTAAAAGTTTTAGTCATTATGATATAAAAAATGAAATGATATAAAAAGCACATTGTTAGAAAGACAAATGATTGTTGAACTTATTAATATTTTTTTTTAAATTGATTAATTGCTATTTTTAAATAAAAAAAGGGGTTTTAGTGGCTTATGGTGTGGATTTATCATGTCCCCAAGGCTTGTAAATACAATAACTTTTGAAAATATCAATTGTTTAACTCAATCTATTTTTTAATCTCTTCATCTATCATGTGGGAAGACACTGAATATAAATGGCAGTGTAATTTTGTTTTGTTTAGCTATAATTAATATTTTTCGGCTCCAAAATGGCGAAATTTTCCTTGATTTGGTTGCCTTGTATGTAAATTATTTCTCTAAATGAGGAGCTACAGCCACAGAGTAGTTTAGTTCGGCTTCAGTCGCCGTCGTGAGTGGACATTGTTTCGGTTGTTTGCAGCGGCTCAAAAAGATCGCTGTACAAATATTCGAATAACCAAATTTCTTAAATACTTGATTATAATAATAGTAAGAGATTTTTTTATTACAATATTTTAAAAGCACAGAATAAATAATAGTAGTACGTACTAAAAGTAAGTAGTATGATTTTTTTTTGTCATGGGTGACATTTTCATGGTTTTCGAGGGTGTTGAAACCGATAGGGTTGTCGAAATGTAAATCCAAGATGGCGGCCGCAACAGGTATCAATTTTTTCATCATTGATGTCATTTTCATGGTTTTCGAGGGTGTTCAGCACCCTCGAAAACCATGAAAATAATAGTGTAAACCAATAGTGCTGTCGAAATGTAAATCCAAGCTAGCGGCTGCAAAAGATACAATTTTTTTCATCATGGGTATCATTTTCATGGTTTTCGAGGGTGTTGATGCCGATAGTGCCGTCGAAATGTAAATCCAAGATGGCGGCTCAAGTAGGTATCAAGTTTTTTCATCATGGGTGTCATTTTCATGGTTTTCGAGAGAGTTGAAGCCGATAGTGCTGTCGAAATGTAAATCCAAGGTGGCGGCTGCTATGTGTATCAATTTTTTCATCATGGGTATCATTTTCATGGGTTTCGAGGGTGTTGAAGCCGATAGTGCTGTCGAAATGTAAATCCAAGATGGCGGCTGCAATAGATATCAATTTTTTCATCATGGGTGTCATGTTCATGGTTTTCGGTGGTGTTGAAGACGATAGTGCTGTCGAAATGTAAATCCAAGGTGGCGGCTGCAATAGATATCAATTTTTTCATAATGGATGTCATTTTCATGGTTTTCGAGGGTGTTGAAGCCGATAGTGCTGTCGAAATGTAAATCCAAGATGGGGGCTGCAATAGATATCAATTTTTCATCATGGGTGTCATGTTCATGGTTTTCGGTGGTGTTGAAGCCGATAGTGCTGTCGAAATGTAAATCCAAGGTGGCGGCTGCAATAGATATCAATTTTTTCATAATGGATGTCATTTTCATGGTTTTCGAGAGGGTTGAAGCCGATAGGGTTGTTGAAATGTAAATCCAAGGTGGCGGCTGCTATGGGTATCAATTTTTTCATCATGGGTATCATTTTCATGGGTTTCGAGGGTGTTCAAGCCGATAGTGCTGTCGAAATGTAAATCCAAGATGGCGACTGCAATAGATATCAATTTTTTCATCATGGGTGTCATTTCCATGGTTTTCGGTGGTGTTGAAACCGATAGTGCTGTCGAAATGTAAATCCAAGATGGCGGCGGCAATAGATATCAATTTTTTCATCATGGATGTCATTTTCATGGTTTTCGAGGGTGTTGAAGCCGATAGTGCTGTCGAAATGTAAATCCAAGGTGGCGGCTGCAATATATATCAAGTTTTTCATCTTGGGTGTCATTTTCATGGTTTCCGAGGGTGCTGATGCTGATAGTGCTGTCGAAATGTAAATGCAAGGTGGCGGCTGCAACAGCTATCAATTTTTTCATCATGGGTGTCATTTTCATGGTTTTCGAGGATGTTGAACCCGATAGTGCTGTCGAAATGTAAATCCAATATGGCGGCTGCAATAGGTATCAATTTTTTCATCATGGGTGTCATTTTCATGGTTTTCGGTGGTGTTGAAGCCGATAGGGTTGTCGAAATGTAAATCCAAGATGGCGACGGCAATAGATATCAATTTTTTCATCATAGGTGTCATTTTCATGGTTTTCGAGGGTGTTGAAGCCGATAGTGCTGTCGAAATGTAAATCCAAGGTGGCGGCTGCAATATATATCAAGTTTTTCATCTTGGGTGTCATTTTCATGGTTTCCGAGGGTGCTGAAGCTGATAGTGCTGTCGAAATGTAAATGCAAGGTGGCGGCTGCAACAGCTATCAATTTTTTCATCATGGGTGTCATTTTCATGGTTTTCGAGGATGTTGAAGCCGATAGTGCTGTCGAAATGTAAATCCAATATGGCGGCTGCAATAGGTATCAATTTTTTCATCATGAGTGTCATTTTCATGGTTTTCGAGGGTGTTGAAGCCGATAGTGCTGTCGAAATGTAAATCCAAGATGGCGGCGGCAATAGATATCAATTTTTTCATCATGGGTGTCATTTTCATGGTTTTCGAGGGTGTTCAAGCCGATAGTGCTGTAGAAATGTATTTAAACTAATTTAAAAAATTCCGTATAATCATGTTATACGTAATTTTTTTAATGCGCTTAAGGTATGCCCAATTGGATTTACCAATATTTTTTCCTTTGTTGCTTGTGTTCTTTAAAAGAAAGCTTTCTAAGGTTTTAATATTTAAGTTTATAATTTTTTTCCATTATAAATGGGATGACTGAATCCATGGTCCTCCAAATCTCTGGTATTGAATATATCAAATAAAACTACTTGTCGCATTTTTTTAATCAAAATCCCAAGATTTCTACAGCAACGTTTATTTTTTATTATTTCACTACCTACAAGATGGTTACAAGTTATCGAACAGAATGGACCCTTATATATTATTATTAAATGTAACCAAAATTTAAAAAAAAACTTCTTGAATTTCTAAACAATATACGAAGAAACTTTTTCCCCAGTCTTATATACTAACTAAAGGTGTAACAAAATAGTACTTAATAACTTAGGGAATGATTCTGCCCGTCAACGTGAATATTTTTTAGTATGGGGTCATCTTCGAAATTTTCAATTTATACGTGATAGACCCATACTGCAGCTATATTACTGGTATAGTTGTAGCACGAATGGGTCAGCTCGACCGGAGACCGACCACGCTCTCACAGAAGACCAGTGTAAAATAGGAGCTTAACGCTGTTGTGTTTCCTATCGGTGAGTGTAGAGAACCGGAGACCCTTTTTACTGGAAACGAGGCATTCCATCTTAGTCCTCAGGGGTTGCAACGCATCTGCATTTTGATTTTTAACCGAGGATAGATGTATATGTCTATGGGACACAGCAACCACTTACAATCAGGTGGACTGAGTGCTCGTTTGTCACCCTGATCCTATAAAAAATATCTCAAAGTCAGTTATTCCATACAAAATTTCGTACAAACTTGCTCAAAATGTATGGAAGACCTGATTTTTCTTGCGATTCGGAAGATAGATCTATAGTAAAAGTTGTTCATATTGACGCGTAGAATAGAAAGCCCTATTTTGATTACACCATATATATAACTATTTTTTTAAATAATTTGTGAATATTAGTTAGACGTGTAAATAAAAAAATTAAAGAGATAAAAAGGAGGCCTTATCATTTATATGTCATTTATTCAGAAGAAAAACCTATACATAATATACACGAATATACTGATACATTCGTTATTAATAAACTATTCATTTTTAAGTATTTCTGGAATACATTCATAACTATGAACTTAACTACTAAGCCATAGCATGAAATTAATTTTCCCGTTAATCGGGTAATAGTTAAGCTGCTGGCATATACAATTTTTCACGCACACTAGCATCATGCAAATTGTCTTATACACACTACAAAATTAAGATGCCGCACTCACGGAACTGTTACTTGCAGGGAGCGCGGTATCCAGTCAGAGCGCGCGATGACTTATTATTAATCTATGAAGAAAATGTTTCTATACGTTTAGGAATTTAATTCCCATTTTATTTCCTTGTGAATTTTTCTGGATTTGTTGCAAACGATGTTATTTATAAGCCAAAAATGAAAAACAAATATTTTACAAGCTATGTCACTTGATGCGGTTATTACATACATTACAATATTGTTATTACATACATACATATTGCATACCATCCAGTACTACACTGACAGAAGCACACCTGTCTATGCCTGCTTCTTGGATCTATCTACCTCACAAATATACATATTAGATATATGAATACAATATACATATTAAGTTGATTGTAAGATTATGTACTTACAGACGCTCCTCCTGTTTCCCTACAAGTTATTTAAATGCAAAAGTTATATAAATTGGAATCATCCAAAACGTTTATGTGTGCTTAAATAAGTTTTCTCATTTTGCTTATAATAAAATCCAGAAATTTCACAATGACATGAGGTTCACAGTGTTGCCAGTGGAAGCTGATATAGGTTGGGATACCAGAAAAAATCTAATTGTCTCCCGGGAGGTTAAAATTCGTGTGATTCGATCCGTCAACTCATGACTATATAGTATACAAACACAGAGGGGGCGCCAACGAATATAATGCTCGAGTGTATGCGCAAAGCACAGGAGTACTCTCTATTAAAAGAAAAAACTAATAATTATAACCAACGCGCCACTTACACTAGCGCATGTTGAAGTAGACTGCGGCGCACACACGATAAAACTAATGATTTTACAAAAAATAAAAAAGGTTATTACATAAGTTAGAACATCATTTCTCTAGTTTAATTTATTATGTAAATGTTTTTATCGTGAAATGTGCCGGAAAGGAAATGTTGTCAAAAAACTGTTTCAGGCGCCTTTTTTCCAATATGGCGGTTCGAGCGGCAAAAATACGAGGTAGCAAAGAAAAAATTTCGAAACACCACATCGAAATCTATAAAATTACCTTGCTCTAATTACCTCAATGGTGCTATGATTTGTTTCGTATGGTGAGTGCGGAGATCCGGCGACCCATTTTACTGGAAACGAAGCATTCCATCTTAGCCCTCACGGGTGACAACTCATCTGCGTTTTGATTCTTAATCGAGGACAGATGTAGATGTCTATTGCCCACAGCATTCACTTACAATCAGGTAGACTGTGTGCCCGTTTGTTTCCCTTATTCTACAAAAAAATGGAGGTTCGTTGGCATGGTATATTGGTGTAAGAAGTTCCAAAACCCTATTTCGTTCGGAGGGCTAACTTCTGTTAAAGCGACCATGATAAATGGGGTTATTATAAACTAATTTGCTTAATTCCGCGTAAAGAAAGAAAATGATGTGTACTGCCCAGTTCTAAGAGGACCTCCCACCCTCCCTCAATTGCGCGCACTATACCCGTCGCCGTCAATCCCAGCACTACCAATCCCTAGTGAAAAATTTTCTAAGATATTTAAATTGAAAGAATCCTTAGCATGTGTCTATATCCATTATTTGGAGAGTTATCAAAATAAATCACAAAGGAGTCAAAATATATAATATAATATATGCGTGATTTAGTGTCTTTTTATTTTTTATAGAACTTACTAGAAACCCTCTCGTTTGAACTCGTTTAAATAATATTTTTGCTAAAAAACTAATAACGCAAAAATAGCCTTTAAATCTAGACATCCACCGACTTCCATACAAACAGAATAGAATAGAATAAAATAATTTTTATTCAATATAGGTTACAATGTTAGCCATGGTAGGTCAGATGGTTAGCGCTCGCTGTAAGTTTCACAGTACGCGAGTAACCCGCTTTCGATCCCCGCCGGCACCGGCAATGGGGCAGCGCGGCAGACATTTGCTTGCCCTAAAATCCCTCTCAGAAATGAAAGGAGGCCTCTGCCCAGCAGTGGTACGTATATAGGCCGTAATATATATAATATATTTGTAAATACTTATTGAGTAATTTTTTAATTTACCACTGGTTTGCAAAAATCTCTGTCCCGGGAAGAACCCGCAACCAACAATTACATTGGCTTACGAGTTTGTAATGATATCAAATTCAAGTTTGTATCCGCTTTACGAGTATAGTACGTATGGTGTAACGATTAGGACGATGTTTTATTTTATCTTTATTTTAGTATCTGTGGATACACTACTTTCTTGCGGAGTAACAGAATCCATCTGCTATTTTCTTCCCGCACATGTCATATAGAACTACTATGCGATATGCCTAAAAGTTCATATAGATTTCAATGATATATCGTATATAATATGTCGATATAGTTATCTCATTGACGTCAGGTGTGAAACAGTAACTAGACCGGCGACGGACGTTAACGTCAAGGATGGGAAACGTGTGATATTGCGATCTTCAGTCAGTCTATCAGTCAGGGAGATGCCTGAATCCAATAGTGGCACCTTACGAGCTAATGAACAAGATAAATACTTTAAAGAAATTTATAAAGGTGAAGAAGAATATACAAACCGTCGCTAGTTTTGCCGAAGCCGGTCGCCTGCGCTCTGGTGCCCGCGAAGTTGTTGTTCAGTAAGGACCCGGAGGGCAAAGCGACGGGAGCGATGTTATCTGCAGACAAACATGAAATACATAAAAATATATGAAACTACAAAGCAGTTTTTTCATTAAAGGTATTATAAAAAGTATTAAAAATATTAGGGTTTCCTTTTAACGAAAATATTTGGTTGATGTTACAGCTTGTATTCTAAATATATATATATATATATATATATATATATATATATATATATATATATATATATATATATCATACACAGTCTACCTAATGGAAGTTAATCTTACGGAATCACGATGTAGAGGCGGTGTAAGAATATCCACAACTCCATATCGTCTCGTGTCGTAAGAAGCGACAGAGAGAAACAAACCAGGAGATGGGCTGCAGCGAATTTCTAATAACAACTAAAATAAAAAATAAACTACCGTTGCCAACCCGTCTGTCAAACATGACAACTATTGTAAAATCTTCCTTTATGAAGCAATCTATGGCCGAGGCCTATGTTCAGCTGTGGACTTTTATAGGCTGTAATAGATGGATGTATAGAAGATAATCTACCAGGAGCACATGACCCGCTGAGAGGTGAAATTATGAAATCAACAGTAAAGTTACAACTATAGCAAATATCCCACCTATTAGGCAATCTATGGGAGAGGCCTATGTTCAGCAGTGGACTTTTAATACTCTGTAACGGTAAATGTTATGGCCTATAGTTGACAACCTCGAGAATAAAGTTGAAATGGTTCGGTATGACTAAAGATTAACTTTTAACAAAAAGTAAAAGCCGACTTTGCCGCCGCCGAAATAACTTCAAAGAGTAAAGTTATTTCTCAATCTAAAGTCGGTGATTTTCAGATTGTGAAATTATTTTATAATTCTTACTTTATTAAAAGTTGCTTTTTTTCCTTTTGAGTTTCACAACCTCAATGTCGTCTAAAGAGTTACATTAAAAACTTCATCCTCTACTTAAACACCCATTTTAAATTTATTTGGGACTACCCCTGCAGTATACTTGTAAATTGGTTCAACAAAAAGCATTTCTATGGCCTACAGGTAAATGTTAATAAAATAAAATGATGTGTCTTACCTAGCTTGAAGAGCATTTGTAGGAGCGGTCAGCCACCGCAGAGTCTACTTCGCCTGAGGATGTCTCGTTTAGAGGTAAAACTCGTGACGAATTATCGACGGTGGTGTGTAGTGTAGTGGTGAAGGGGATAGTGCATGCGATTGAGGGAGGGCAGGAGGTGCTCTTCAAACTAGGTAAGATACATCATTTGTTTTATTGGATATTGTGGAGGTGTCGTATTACAAAAATAACGATTCTACAACTGAACATTAGCCTGTCCCGGGGAAAATCATAACACGCGCTAGGAACTACCTCCATCCATCGACTTCCTTCCATGTCTTATTGTAACTCCTTCCAGTGGGAAGCTGCTTTGTAAATCGCATAGTGCTACGAGCTGCCACTTGAAAACCCTATTTCCCATCGGTTTTAGGTTCTTCCTGCTAACAGCTAATTACCTTCTTCTTTTTTTTGCATTCCGCTTGCCATCAGGTTAACTGGTGCCTATTTTTCACCTTTATCCGTAAAAATGAAACGCTCATTTTTATGTACAATAAGGGTGACAAACGAGCACACAGTCCACATGATGGTAAGTGATTGCTGCGGCCCATAGACATCTACATCTATCCTTGTTTGCGAATCAAAATGCAGATGCGTTGTCACACGTGAGGACTAAGATGGAATGCCTCTTTTCCAGTAAAAAGGGTCTCCGGTTCTCTACACTCACCATACGAAACACATCAATGTTAAGCTGCTATTTAACGCTGGTATTCTGTGAGAGTGTTGTCTATCCCCGGTAGAGCCGACCACTTCGTGCTACAACTATACTACTAATATAGCTGTAGCATGACTCTACCACGTGTAAAAATCATTTCATTCATTCATTTCATTTGGTCATTTTATTTTATTACGCTGACCTTTATTTAATTTTAAAAAATTTTAATATAATCAATTTCCGCAAGGTAACGCTTGACTCTATTAATTACTTAACTTGGGAGACTTGCGCGTTTACTTAACTATTGAAAAAAGTACTTACTGTTGAAATTGACTCTACTAATACTTATAATAGCGACGTCATTATGCAATGTGGAGGGGCTGTAGCTGCCGTGGGTCTGGACGTTGCTGGTGGTGATCCTGGTGCCGCCGGAGAAGAGGCGCGTGGAGCCCAGCACCACGGTGAACTGGCGCGCCCGGTTGCGACCGTCATACCAGCAGTGGCCTGCCGTCACCAGGCGGGTGTTGGATAGCAAGGAGGAGCCGCAGACGGAGGTGCCACCGCTAGCTAGGGCTATGACTAGCCCGCCCTGAAAAATTTATGGATTAAACTGCAATGGTCCAAAAGAAGTAATAGTAATTTCCTAGAGACTGAATTTCGTTCACGGCGGCCAGTCTCAACGGAGAGTCTTGCCATCCGATCAGGACAGTATTGTATTGTAAGAGTGTGTGCGCAAGCACAGGTGGTCTCGTTATACCCTCACTCTCATAGTCCGATGGGATGGTAAGTCGCTAACGCTTTACGTGCTTTCTGAAGTACGGTAGTGAAACACAGCCAACTTCCTGACTCCGGGCGGCTACTAAGAAGTTTTTGACAGATAAAACCCAATAACTGATTTTGGCCCGACGTGGGATTGGAACCCGGGACCTTATGATTAACAATCGCGTTTAGGACCTCTAGACCAACGAGGCGGTTAAAATTAAGTAGAAGTTCAGTAGTAGTGTATTACGAACTAATTGAGAATGAGGAAGAACTACTAAGAAGAAGTATTTTGGTGACATATAATTTCGTGGGATGCCTACCTTTTTATCAAGTAGACTGTGAGCTCATTTGTCATCCTTATTCTATAAAAACAAAACTTAGTTTACTGTAACGATTTATAGAATGAGACAGTGTGATGCATCTTCTATCAAAAGACAAAATAATTACATAACATCAATAAAATCTCACCAGAAATGGATAGGATCCAAGCGACGCTGGCGAGCCCCCCACGATCCTGGAGCCATCGAAGTCGACGGCTTGTTCTGACTGCTTGATGCGTTCAGCTAGAGGAATGCCCACATTCTCGTGATAATGGAGAAGAATTGGCTCCGTAGCCAAAGAAACCGCCACCAAACAAAACAGAACTACCAGGGAAATTTTCATGGTGGGACTTCGCTGCAGACTATACTTGGTCTATTTCTGAGTCCCTTTTATTGGTCCTAGCTATCTAATCGCAGTGGTGTAGTGTATTCGTTCGAAATCATTAAGTACTGATTATGGAATCATTATGACAATATTAAGATATCTTTTGGATTGTCGCTTTAGATTTAAAAGAATTAGACACTATTGTTTATAAAAACAAGATAAGGACGCGATAATGATCGAAAAGTACTATTTTTGTCTATTCTTTTTTCGATTTTTAATCTACTACACATAAGACACAATCACCGATTGTGTCTTTTTAGGATTATCCCAACTAGCTTTACTTTTTTTCCAAGGAAACTTTTTTTATGATTTGCCACTCCTGAACGTAAAGCCTTATTTACACGAACATTATTTTTATTATTAATATTTTGTTCATTTTGTTGTTGAAAAGGTATGTTATTGTTAATTTAATTCTTTTCATATTTTTTTATAGGAGAGGGGGCAAACGAGCATGCGGCTCACCTGATGGTAAGTGACTACTGCTGCCCATGAACAACTGCAACAGCCGGCCGGCCTTTTAAAAAGGAGTACGCTCTTTTCTTGAAGATTCCTAAGTCGTATCGGTCCGGAAAAATCGCTGATGGTAATCGATTCCACAAGGAAGTCGTGCGAGGAAGAAAACATCTTCTAAATCGCACAATACTGAAAGAAGAAAAAAACATCATGGAATCGATATATTTTTTAATATACATTATAGCAGCGCGGGAAAACGCATGTCCAGTGTTCTTTTCCTTCACCAATTAGCTTGTAATACTTTACTAATAGTCGTGAGTCAGTTCCGTTGTAGGGCTGTACATCCCAAGGGTTTGTCTAAATCGTCACGCTTGACAAGTGCAATGATATTATATGAAGTGCAGTGCCAGAAGTACACAGAGCAGGCGCTCTGTGTACTTCAATTCCATTTTAAATAAATGGAACAAGAAAGGTTTCTTGTTCGATTAATTTGGCGGTTTCTGGTCTATCGTGTAACCTCGCTATGAAAGAGCGGTGCTTCCTAGCACAAGCAAGATTATTTGGGTAAAAGGAAGCTCCACATACTTAGAATTGTATTAGGCTTATTTACCGTAACTATTTTGTATTATTGTATTTTAAGGTATTTATATAGTTTTCTCATCCTGTTGCGCTGTATAAATCATCATCATCATCATCATCATCATCATTACAGCGCTTCACAAGTCCACTGCTGAACATAGGCCTCCCCCAAGGAATGCCACAAAGCACGGTCCTGAGCCACCTGCATCCATCGACTTCCTCCATATCTCACCAGGTCGTCACTCCATCTAGTTGGGGGTTGCCCTACACTTCGTATACCAGTACGAGGCTGCCACTCGAGAACCTTTCTTCCCCATCTGTTGTCAGTTCTTTGAGCTATATGGCCGGCCCACTGACACTTCAGCTTACTAATCCGATGAGCTATGTCGGTAACTCTGGTTCTACTGCGGATATCCTCATTTCTAAGTTTATCACGCAGAAAAACTCCGAGCATAGCCCTCTCCATAGCTCGCTGAGCGACTTTGAGGTTCCTCATATGGCAAGCAGTGAAGGACAATGTCTCAGATCCGTAAGTCATCACTGGCAACACGCACTGGTTGTACAATTTCGTTTTCAGGTTTTGAGGTATGTCTAACGAGAAGATGTGTCGTAGTTTCGCGAACGCTGCCCAGCCGAGTTGAATCCGTCGATCGACCTCTCGGTCGAAGTTGGCCTTACCTAGTCGGACTATTTGTTCCAAGTAAACACACTCGTCAACAACTTCGAGCTTAGTGCTCCCAACAACTACCGGTATACATGGACGTTAAACATGATTTTTGTTTTGTCCATGTTCATCTATAGACCTATCCGTTGGGAGACACTATTGAGGTCATTAAGCATAATACTTACGTACTCCAGCGATTCTGCCATAAGGACTATAACGTCGGCACATCGAAGGTGAGTGATGTACTCGCTATTGATGTTAATACCACATCATTTCCAATCCAGTAGCTTGAAAACGTCTTCCGATGCAGCGGTGAAGAGTTTCGGGGATATAACATCACCCTGTCTTACAGGTGGATAGGTTTCGTACTCTGATTCTGTACTCGGATACCCATCATAGCTCTACTGTACAAACACTTCAGCACTTCGATATACCGACAGTCAACTTGGCACCGCTGAAGGGACTGCAGCACCGCACAAATTTCGAAGGATTCAAAGGCTTTCTCATAGTCCACATACGCCAGACATAGTGGCAAATTGTACTCTTCGGACTTTTGTAGAATTTGCCGAAGGGTACATACTCTAGGGCTTTAGCACAATAGACCACATATATATGTGGTCTATGGTGCTAAAGCCCTTTCTGAAACCGGCTTGTTCGGGAGGCTGGAAGTCGTCGAGTCTGCGTGCGAGACGATCCGTAATGACTCTCGAAAACAGCACGTAGACGCGGCTCAGAAGGGAAATTGGTCTGTAGTTCTTCGAGAGAGCGTTGTCACCTTTCTTGAAGAACAAGACCACCGCACTTCTGCTCTACGCTTCCGGTGTAATGCGACCATGGAGGACGGAATTAAAGAGCTTCTGAAGGACTTCAAGTACCGTATTTCCACCCGCTTTCAGAAGCTCCGCTGTAATTCCATCCTCGCCTGAGGCCTTGCCGTTTTTAAGGTGCTGGAGAGCCATTCTAATCTCGCTCAGACTGATGTCCGGGATATCTTCGGAATAGTGTCGGATAAGACTCGCTCTTGGATCGTTACTCACACTTGCGTGTGGCTCCAACTGAAAACGGTTTAGTAACTCGAGCTGAAAGGTTTCGGGACTTTGGAACAGAGCACGAGGGGGACGGAGCATTGACTTCATTAGACGAGACCTCTCCAACTTAACGTTTAGGTTCTGTGTGCCTCTAACCATTCGGTATAAATACATAAATAAAAATGATAAATATACGTAAATATTAATAAAGTAAAATAATATATAAAAATAAATAAATAAAAAGTACATAAATAAATAAAAACCTAACCATTAAACCCTAAAAGATGGAAGCCCTCGGCAGGAGAGACCATACGGCCGAGGGTTAGGGAGAAAGAGAGAGATACCGGCGAACAATGCTGGCGGTATCGGGGAGCACAACGTGAGCCCGGTGCAGTCCGTCACGAAGTCCCAGTCGCTTCAAATGACCCGAGAGGCTGACCGGGATTAGCCCGTTCGTATAAACGATATAGGTATAATTTCTGTCGGCAGACAACCCCACACGTCGGTCATTCATCTCGTGAGCCAGGACCAGATATTTTGTTCGCTTATTTGTTTCGGCTTTCACGAGGATCTGGTCATACGGAATGGTAATGTCGACCAAAATATCCTTGACTGTGCCCGTTCCATCATCACAATGTTAGACTTATTCGTAAGAATAGTACTGTCTGTGATGATGGCCTGCAGTCTGGCGCGGTCATTTTTGAACACGGCTTCCAGCAAATCCTTATATAAAAAGGTAGTTTCCGATCCACGAGACCGTATTTTCGAGCGAGCTCCTGGTGTAAAATCCTGGCTACTAGGTTTCGTCTGTGCAAATCCTCAGAGTTAGAAAGCGCCGTATAACTAAAATGGATTCTCCCTATTTAAAGAATAAGGGTGACAAGCGAGCACATAGTTCACCTGATGTTAAATGGACGAAATGGCCCATAGACCAACCAATGTGGACCCGCTTGTCCAGCGTGCCAACTATGGCAAGTACACCCTATATGAGGTAACCCATGGGGAGGCCTACGTTCAGAAGAGGTCTTTAATAGACTGTAATGATGATGATGATGAACCTATAATACGTATTAATTTAAATTGTTAAACTAAAATCACAGACGGTCATAATTATTACATTTGCTTAAAACTAATCAAATCTTCATTAATTAGATTAAGGCATTGCTACACCAGAGTGCTTATTTTGTCCTTACAAATTACGTTTATACTTTACAGCAATAGTTTGCTTCGTGTATTCGTATTTAATTATTTTAGGGAATTAATCGCGCTTAATCAGACTTTTTTAACCCCCGTTTCGAATCGCAGATATCTGCGTAGATTGGAACTTGATTAATAATTAAAAGCTGAAATAACTACGGGTTCACTCTGACATCGGGACGTCAATTAGCTCAGTCCCCCCGCGACCATGGGTGCTGGAAAGCAGCCAAAATGTCGGGAGTCGAAACATCCGTATCAGTAGTTTTATTCAATGAGTAACTGCTGGCGTAAATAAGAGAAATCAATAGGCTTCAGTTTCCTTAACAGATATAAAAAGCCAGAAATAATCTTTACTTGCTACTTTGAACACAAGCAGGTATATTAGTTATGTGTTTTACTATTCCATTATTAAAAGGAAAAACATTACAGCTTTAAATACACTAATACCTAGCCATGAGTTATCTACAGGGCGGTGATGACGATTAATTAGTTTTATTAGACAAGTTTCACAGTACGTGAGCAACCCGGGTTCTATCCCCGCCGGCACCAATGAAATTGTTCAAATTTTAAGTGCTGATTTACCACGTGCTCGGAATTGAAGGAAAACATCGTGAGGAAACCTGTATACCTGTATATAACTTCGCCAACACGCATTGGGTCAGCGCGGCGGACATTTTCTTACCCTAAACCCTCTCATAATTGAGAGGAGGCCTGTACCCAGTAGTGAGACGTATATATAGGCTGTTACTTTAGTTTTTTAACTGTATTACACAATTATATCTTGTAAATCGTCTAGTGGCTTGTAAGAATATTTACTACTCCATAACGTCCCGTGAGTGTCGGAAGAGACGATAGAGGTTAATTAAAACAATTCAAAATTTAAAAAAAAAAACTGCGTTTGCCAATCCGCCTGCCAAGCATTCCATTTGGAAATCGTACCTACGTTCAGTAGTGGACGTTAATAGAAATGGATGGATAGACGGTATGTATGACTCTAGTTTGTGTGCATCCTAAGTTTTAGGAAGGTTAATTAACCT